AGGCCTGCCAATCAACAATGGCTGCAACCAAAAAAAAAAAAAAAAAAAAAAATAGCAGCGTTGGAGTTGGAATTCGCTGTGAGCTGTGATGCCACGGTACTCTACCCGGGGCAACAACTTGAGGCTCTGTCTCAAAAAAAAAAAAAAAAAGTCTCACTATGTCACTCTTGGTAGAGTGCTATGGTATCACAGCTCACAGCAACCTCAAACTAATTGGCTTAAGTGATTCAGTGATTCTCTTGCCTTAGCCTCCCAGGTAGCTGGGACTACAGGTGCCTGCCACAATGCCTGGCTATTTTTTTGTTGCAGTTGTCGTTTAGCTAGCCTGGGCCGGGTTGGAACCTGCCAACTTGGGTGTATGTGTGTCAGCGCCCTACCCACTGAGCTACGGGCACTGCCCAAGCAGTGTTTTTTAAGGTTTAACTAGATACTGCTGCTTCCTAAATGCTTTGAACCTGGGATCTGCTCTGAAGGGGACATTAGCTACTATGAGAGAACAGAGAGAGATTAGTGCCAACTTGAGTCTTAATTGTTCCTTGATGCAGTGGGAAGGATTCAAAGAAAACAGAAAAAAAAAAATCACCTTCCTATACCATTCTGGGTTGATAATGCCTATACTTGTCATGGCATTAGCCAGTCTGGAGACTTCACCTCCCCACTGGATTTTAGAGAATCAGTTTTGTCTGAGGGCATTTCACTCCCTGCACAATCTGGGCCAGGGCCCTGGGGCTCAGCCTGGTTCATAATTCCATGCTTTGCAGTTCCGCTGCCCTTTCAGGGATGGACCCAGAGCCCCTGCACCCCCTGAGCTGCCACCCTGGTTGCCTTATAGAGATCCAGGTGATGATGGGCAGTCTGGTATACCTGCGGCTGGGCTTAGAGAAGTCACCCTACTGCCACCTCTTGGACAGCAGCCACTGGGAAGAGATCTGTGAGACCTTTACCAGAGATGCATGTTCCCTGCTGGGGCTTTCCGTGGAGTCTCCCCTCAGCGTCAGGTACAACCTAGTACAGTGAGAGCAGCAGAGGTGGGAGGGTAGAGAGGGAAATATTCTCCCAGGGCTCTACCACATGCCAGGAACAGTGCTCAGTGCTTTCACAGACCTAACCTGGCTTTGCTGGTCATTTTTCTGGAGAGTAAGAAGTACCGGTTTCTGAGGTTGAAGAAACAGATTAGGAAGAGTTGTGGCCTGAGGTCACTACACAATGGCAGGGCCATGGTTGCCATTTTGTTGAAAGGCCTGTTAGATGAGGTCCCTGCCTCTCCTGTATGTCACTCCAGATCCCTGCAAGACCTTCCCACCTAATCTGTGCCCCTCTGTAGCACACCTTCCTCCCAGGTTTGTCTCTCAAACACTACTTCCCTTCAGGGGAGACATGTTGCTGAGTACCAAGTATTTAGCATTATCGTTTGGCCATCTTCCTCACAGGAATGTTCTCTCACAACTTCACAACACACCGAGGAGTCAGAGGTACTGGTATCCTCATTTTACAGAAGAAAAAATGGAGGTTCAGGATGTGAACTTACTTGCCTAGGACCTCAAGGAATAAAGGGCACACTTGGACCCGATCTCAGAGCCACAGACTCTACCACAGTGCCTATTTGTCACAGTATATTTTACATAGACTGGTTATGGGGTCTCACGTTCCACCCCAGTATGTATTATTGTTACCAAATTACAAAACATTAGACAGATGATGGTGTTGTGCAGGACTGCCCTGTACATTGTAGAATATTGAATATTGGAGGCTCCAGCCAGTAGGCTCCCTACCCTCAAGCAATCATTAAGAGAACTGACCTTCCCCCTACTTTTTTTTTTAAGATGAGTATCACTCTGTTCCCAACAGAGCCTCCCAAAGTGCTGGGATTACAGATGTAAACCACCATGCACAACCCTCCTCCCATTTTTAAATGTTCTACTTGATAGCCACTTTTGTAGACGTATAACAGAGCAGGGTAGATCCTATAGGTGGGTTGGAGCCCTTTAGAGCTGACTGCTGCCTTCCAGTCACACCAAGGACTTTTCAGTAGTTTGGATGAGCAGACATCTGCCCCTGGAATGTGCTTTTGTCTTTCCCATTAAGTTCTCAAATTGGGGGGTACATGAGAATGGCTGTCTATAGTTGGTCATATGTATGTGGTACATTATGAACAATCTGAGGAATTTTCAAGGGCTGATTTGACCTTATGCCACTTTAGAATCCCATCTCAATCCCATGCTGTAATGAGCCACTCCAGCCCTTGTACTTTGTTTGGCAGTTTTGCCTCTGGCTGTGTGGCGCTGCCCGTGCTGATGAACATCAAAGCTGTGATCGAGCAGAGGCAGTGCACTGGGGTCTGGAGTCATAAGGATGAGTTACCGGTAAGACATGACAGAGGGAGGTGCAGGCAGAAGGCACTGAGAAGGACAGCCATGACAGGAAGTGGAAACTGACCCCTTTGTTGGCCTCCTAGATTGAGATTGAACTGGGCATGAAGTGCTGGTACCACTCGGTGTTTGCTTGCCCCATCCTCCGCCAGCAGACGTCAGATTCCAACCCTCCTATCAAGCTCATCTGTGGCCATGTTATCTCCAGAGATGCACTAAACAAGCTCATTAATGGAGGAAAGTAAGTTCCCTATGTTCTGCTCCATCTTGGTTGGGCTCTCTTGCTGCCAGCCATTAAGATGTTCTTGGTTCTCCTCCCTTTACAGGCTGAAGTGCCCCTACTGTCCCATGGAGCAGAACCCAGCAGATGGGAAACGCATCATATTCTAATTTCTGCCTGGAACTTTGTGAGAAGGGGTTCCCCCTCCCACCAGCCTTGGTCTGTCTTGGTAAGGTGGGTGGCTCCAGTGGACTTGGTTCATTTCAGAGTACCTGGCTGATGAGTGCTACCATGGCAGAGCCTGAGGAAGGAGATGACCCAGGCCACATCTGGCAGCCAGCTCCTTGGCTATAAGGAAGGGAAGATGCTGGCTCTGTGTTCTGCTTAGTCTCTTCCTGTTTATATTTTCCCTTGAGTTAGTAGCAAATGCAGAGTACCAAAGTACTTGGCCTTTCTGCCTCTTCCCTCAGCCATACCTCTTACTGCCATGCCAATGCTTGTCCACTTTTGCCCTTTGGCCCAAGAGTGTCAGCTGTGGCCCCCTTCCTTCCTTTATACAGCCCCAACTATATGTATCCATGTCCCATTGTAAATAGTTCAAGTTAGAACCAAATGCCATTGTTTCATAATTTTGAGCAACAAATATGTTCACTGTCTTTCTCCTAGCCAGCCATTATCTTCCCTGTGACAAATCATTACTACATATTTACTGCCCACAGGTACTGGGTATGGCCAGGCAGAGGCTGCAGGCAAGAATGTGACTGGCCAACAATACCCAGGCAGAAAGAACCTAACTTGCAACTCTGACTGGGGGAAAAACTTGGAAAATGTCAGACCCCAGGCAAAGTGCTTTTACAGATACATTACAGAGATCAGTATAAGGGGATTTAGGAAGATGAAATGCCCTGCAAAACAGGGCTTACAGCTTGGAATTTACCCCAGATCTAACCCTCAAGCCCCGGCCTTTCCAGTTTATTTCAGGGTGCTTGAAGCTTAAATGTTATATGTCTTAAGTCTTGTCTGGGACGTTTGATAGCAGGAAAGGACCTCAAGTCTGAAATATTTGAAGGGCTGGGTAGCTCATACCTGTAATCCTAGTACTCTGAGAGGCCGAAGTGGGTGGACTGCTTGAGCTCACAGGTTTGAGACCAGCCTGAGCCAGAGTGACACCTCATCTCTAAAAACAGCCAGGTGTTTGGGTGGCGTCTGTGACTCAGCGAGTAGGGCGCCAGCCCCATATACTAGAGGAGGTAGTGAGTTCAAATCCAGCCCTAGCCAAAAACAGAAAAAAAAAAACAAAAACAGGCATTGTGGCGGGCGCCTGTAGTCCCAGCTACTTGGGAGTCTAAGACCAGAGAATGACTTGATGCCCAGAGTTTGAGGTTGCTGGGCGGCACCTGTGCAGTGAGTAGGGGGCCAGCCCCATATACTGAGGGTAGCACACCCTCCGGCTCTGGCCAAACTGCAACAACAACAACAAAATAGCCGGGCGTTGTGGTAGGCACCTGTAGTCCCAGCTTCTTGGGAGGCTGAGGCAAGAGAATCACGTAAGCCCAAGGGCTAGAGATTGCTGTGAGCTGTGATGTCACAGCATTCTACTGAGGGCAAAAAAGTGAGACTCTCTTAAAAAAAAAAAAAAAGACCTAGAGGTTGCTGTGAGCTATGAAACCAGGGCACTCTACCAAGGGCAACAAAGTCTCAAAAAAAAAAAAGGGGGGGGGGCCAGGCCTGGTGGCTCACACCTGTAATCCTAGCACTCTGGGAGGCCGAAGCGGTGTATTGTCAGAGCTCACAAGTTCGAGACCAGCCTGAGCCAGAGGGAGACCCTATCTCTACAAAAATAGGGGGGAAAAAAAGACGGAAGCAAGAGGATCACTTGAACACAAGAGTTGGAGATTGTTGTGAGCAATGTCGCATCGGCACTCTACCCAGGGCGAGAGCATGAGACTGTCTCAAAAAAAAAAAAAAAAAGTTTGAAGGGCCATTGTGTTAGGCAAGAGAGATGGCCTAGGGGCTCATATTTAGCTTCTTGTTCCTATTTAAATTTTACTATGTGGGAGGGTCAACAGATTCCATAAACTCCATAGTGGTATTTAAGTCTTCTGGGGGAAGAAAAAGAGAGACCTGGGGGATAGGCTTCCATGAAGTGGGTTTGGGCCCTTCTAACTTTATCTCACATCCCCCTCCTAATCCCAAAGCAGGAGTAGAAATGAAAGCCCTGAGGTGAGCAGAAGAATTAGTTCTCAGCTGGAGCCCAAGCATGGCCCTGGATGGCACAGCATTAGCAATGCACACTATAGTCCTTCAGGTTCTCCCAGTGAGAAAGCCAGCTTCCATTCTTCCTGCACGCCAACTCCTTGGCCCCATCAGCAGCTGCTGCTGCTTAAAAGAAAACCCACAGACTCACCACATTTAGACTTAGTATTTACTTCCTCACTCCACATTCTTGGAACTGTCTTCACTTAAGCTCAATAAGAAACAGCACTGATGGAGAAGATGCTGGTGTTACCTTCATCAAAGACCTGCTGGAGCTGCCTGGGAAGACGACGTGCCTTGGGGAGCCAGGGAGATGCTGCCAGTGTGGGCAACAGAAGGGCAGCCAGTCAGCCTGCCACCAACCCAGCAGCTTCCGGAACAGGTGCCCAGGGTGCTACCTAAGTCCCTCACAAGGGTGAGGGCAAGGCCTGTACCTCCTCAAGGCACTCATCATAGGCCTCCTGGTATTCCTCGTGAGGCTTGACCATTATCACACAGGTGGGGCGCTTGGAGCCCGCAGCTGCACCCAGGTCCTACAAAGAAGGGGGAAGAAGGACTGTTTGGGGAAAAAAGCTGTATAACATGCATGCCAAGGAGTCACAAACTGATGACCTACCAGCCTAATCTGGCCACTAGGCATGTTCTCTTGGGTCCACATTTTATTGAAAAACATTTTGAATTGGTTGCTATCATTCAAACTCAAGCAAACGTTCAAGCCATCCTCCATCAACATGGGACCTACGTTTCCATATGCAAACTATAAAAGGGCTCTAGCCCAGGAGGGGCTGACATAGGATTTATGCTCTCCAGGTCCCTGCCATCTCTTTACTCCCTGTGACTCGGACCTAGCCCTTGTTATGTAAAGGAAAAGGACAGCTACAGGACCCTGTGAGCATGAACCCACCTAATGGCACTAATGCAAATAAAGCACTTTAGTTTACAAAGCATGTTCACATATGGCTTCTATTTTCATTCTCATAGTCCACAGAGAAGGGGATTCCCATTTTACAAAAAGGAAACTAAATTGTAGAGACATGACTTCCACACAGTCCCACAACTAGGAAGTAGTGGAGCTAAAGCTCCTCCAGGCCTATTTTAACTTCAATACTTATATTATTTCCCACTGGCCTGCTGCCACAAACCATATCCCAGACCCCTCCCCAGTGCCATGTGCTCCTTACCGTCTTGGAGGGGATGTAGATATAGGGCAGATTTCGGTCTTCACACATGACTGGGAGATGGCAGTATACTTCAATGGGCAATGTGTCTCCTGCCAAAACCACGATCCTGAAATGACATGCACTACAGTCATTCCTAGTTTGTTCCTTCACTCTTTTTAGTTCTAAGTACCACCTCTGGGCTGGGCCTTGAATAAGATGCCCCCATCTCAAAGGAACTCGCTTATTAATGTGGGTCTGCCAACCTGCAAAGGGGTGCAAAATTGTGTTTAATGAAGTACATTCTTTTGCAGATGTGATCACTATTTCTTGACAACATGTAAATGCCACCATGTGCAAGAAATGGCATAATGCTGGAACAGATGACGGATGGGAAGGGGTGCCAAGGACTAAGAGCTTAGCTCTCCTCAGAGAATCAAAAAAGGCTTCAGCTAAGATATGAAACTTGAATGGCTTGTGAATGTCTGTCAGGTAGCCTGTGGAGGGGCTGGGGGTAAGAAAAGCTAAGGATATGAGAAGAATGGCACCAGATACAGAGGCACTGGCTGTTGGGAGTCTGGGATGGTTCAGATGGGGAGGGGCAGACAAAAAAGCTGGGAAGACTGGCAGAGGGCACATCCAAGGACTTTTGAGTTCCTAAGAAGTGGGGGCTCTGTCCTAAGAGTGACAGGAACCAGGAAAGCTTGCCAGAGGATCCTTAGCTAGGGCTCCTGGATGGCAAGGTGTCAGAGATGTGGAGCAGGCCTCATGAACCTGAAGACCTGAAAAACTCCTATCATTTAAAATGTCAAGGTACCACTCTCTCCTAGTGCTCTTCTAGCTTCTGGGTTCCCCTACACAGGTTCCTTTTCCTCTGAATAGCTTTTGACTATTCATGGTCTTATAGCTGACCCTGACTGCCCTCCCCCTCAGCACCTTCTTAGCTGACATACTCCACCTCAAGTGTCACTTACATGCTGACAGCTCCCAAATCTCTCCAGCCTGGCCCTCTCTTCCAAGCTCGAAATCCATACAGCCACCTATCTGTTTGTCTCCACAGCACCTCAAACAATTATCTAAAACCAAACTTGGGATCTTTCCACATAAACTTAGTTGTCCTCCACTGTTCACAACCTCAGAATGGGCCCTCTGCCCATTTGGCTAGGCTACAAGATAGAAGTCATGTATACCTACTCATTCTCCAATCCGATCCTTTCAAATCTACCCACTTTAATCCTATCTCCACCATCACCTCTTCTGTACTACAGAGGCATCCTATCTCTTACCAAATCACTCTTGCCTGTCTAATCCTTTACTGAATTGACAAAAAAAAAATCTAAAGTTTTAAATATAATTATGTCACTTCCTGGATTTAACTCTCCATGGCCTCCCAAAGCTCTGAGTACAAAAAGTGTGGTTTACAAGGCCTCATGAGACAGTAGCTTCCCCTGCCCAGCACTACCCTCTCTCCTACCCTAGGGTCCACCCAACTCTTCTGGCAGGAAACCTCCAACTCCCTACTAATCCCTATCTTCAAATCTCCTCTCCAAAGAGACTGCTCAAAAAAGCTTTCCCTGATGCACCCCCTAACTAGGCCAGAGTCCACTGAGCATCAAATCCCCCCAAAATATGTATGTATCTACCAGACACTTCTGGGAATGAAGCTAAGAAAAGCCAAGTTCTCAAGGAACTTAGTTTCCAGGCTGCATAGATGACACAGGTAATAAAAACGTAAATAAGCTTTAGATTCTGATAAATGCCATTAAGTAAAGAAGGGGGGTTATGAAGTCATTACCTCTGTGCAGGTTCTGAAGAAATGGTAGCTGAATAAATGAAGCTGGAGTCCACCTTAAGTTTCTTGGCTTATAGGGGCAGCGCCTGTGGCTCAAAAGAGTAGGGTGCCAGCCCCATATGCCAGAGGTGGCGGGTTCAAACCCAGCCCTGGCCAAAAACTAAAAAAAAAAAAAAAAAAGTGACTGAATAATATATTTTGGCTCTGCGCATGTGGCTCAAACGGCTAAGGTGCCAGCCACATACACCTGAGCTGGCGGGTTCGAATCCAGCCTGGGCCCGCCAAACAACAGTGATGGCTGCAACCAAAAAATAGCCAGGCATTGTGGCGGGCGCCTATAATCCCAGCTACTTGGGAGGTGGAGGCAGGAGACTCGCTTGAGCCCAGGAGTTGGAGGTTGCTGTGAGCTGTGACGCCATGGCACTCTACCCAGGGGCACAGCTTGAGGCTCTGTCTCAAAAAAAAAAAAAAAAAGTTTCTTGGCTTATACCGCTCACTTCCCTCTGAAACTGAGCTCACAGAAGTTATGTACTGGCATCTGTATTGAACGGACTTTACCAATTGGTTGATTATTTTCTACATTATGGGGCTGAGTCAGAGTCAACCTTTTACCAAGCACCTACTAAATAAAACAGTAGATATTTCCTTCCTTACTGTGAAATGCAAACTCCCGAGATAGCAGGGTTCTTACCCTTTCTCGCCTTTGTTGACAAACTTCTGAACCTCCTTCACCCCGCGCCGAATCTGCTTCTGCTTCACGGCTACCACGACAGAAAAGTCAATCGGCTGCCTTGCCCCGCCACCCACTTGGCGCCCCGACCCCTCCCAGGCATGCCAAAGAATACCTCACCTTTCTTGATGCATTTGTAGAGCTTCCGCGTGAGGCGGCGAGAAGCCAAGGGTTGCGCGATGGGGTTAAGATTCACCAGCAGCTCTTGGTAAGTGCGCTCCCCGCAACACACCTCCGCCGGAGCCTCCTGCCCATCCGGTTCTGCCTTTATTTTGGTCATTGCAGCGGCCCTGGCAAGCAATCCCCAAAGAGATAACACCACGCGACCGGCTACTTCTGGAACTACTTCCGGGTCCTCGGCTCCAGAGACGCTGCCGCACACCATGACCAATGAGGAAACGAGGTCTCCGACTCTCAGACCAATCGTCGACGCGCAGCTCCTTAAATCTAGAGCCGGGGAGGGTCAGAGTCTTGGTCTAGGGGCGGGGTCACACGCAGGACTGAGCAACGTACGGAGCGGGGGCGGGGTCCGGAGGACGGGTTCTGAGGGAGGCGGCGAGGGAATGGGACGCTGTTCTGAGTTGGAAGTCTATGGTGGTTGGGGCCAGAGGAGCAGTCTACACCGGTCTACGGCGGTATCTTGTCTAAAGCTGTCTCTGTGACGCAGGCGGAAAAAGGTGAAATCTGTGCTCAGTTTAATTACAAACCTTCGAATCTCATCCTTCTGGTGGTCAATGAGGCCCCCTAATCAGACCTTAAGACCTGAGCTGATCCTGGGTGGTGTGCCCTAGGTACTGAAGGTAAAGTCTGACACAGCTAAAAGTTTCTTTAGTGCTTGCGTAATTTTTCATACTTTGTTCTCTTTCCTGGACCCTGCTGCATGGTAGGAGTAAGCCCACTCTTTGAGTCCCCTGGTCTGCACTACTTTTTCCGAAATAGTCCCCTGCTTGTTCACTTTCTTCCTACAGGGATCTGCTCAAATGTTTCTTTCCTTTTTTTTTTTTTTGACAGAGTCTCACTCCATCGCCCTTGGTAGAGCTCACAGCAGCCTCAAACTCTTGAGCTCATGTAATCTTCTTGCTTCATTTTTCATGTTCAGGAGACCACAGCGGTTCTCACTCTCGCTCCAGCCGGTCTCCAACCCGTGAGCTAAAGCAATCCACCCACCTCAGCCTCCCAGAGTGCTAGGATTACAGGCGTGAGCCACAGCGCCTAGCTTGTTCAAATGTTTCAGGAGGAGGGGTTCCCTTGACCACTTTATGTAAAATTCCTGTAGCTGGGCTCAGTGGCCCACACCTGTAATCCCAGCACTGTGGGAGGTCAAGGCAGGTAGATTGCCTGAGCTCTGGAGTTCTAGAACAGCCTGAGCAAGAGTGAGACTCTCTCTACAAAAAACTAGCCAAGTGTTGTGGCAGGTGCCTGTAGTCCCAGCTACTAGGGAGGCTGAGGCAGGAGGAACACCTGAACCCAAGAATTTGAGGTTGCTGTGAGCCATGACGGCACAGCACTCTAGCCCAGGACAACAAAGTGAGGCTCTGTCTCAAAAAAAAGAAAAAGAAAAAAAGCTGGGTATGGTGGCTCATGCCTGTAATCCTAGCACTCTAGGAGGCTGAGGCAGGTGGATTGCCTGAGTTCACCGGTTCAAGACCAGCCTAAGCCAGAGCCAGACCCCATCTCTAAAAATAACCAGGTATTTGTGGCAGACACCTGTAGTCCCAGCTACTTGGGAGGCTGAGGCAAGAGATTCACTTAAGCCTAAGAGTTTGAGGTTGCTGTGAGCTGTGACTATGGCACTGTACCAAGACCAACATAGTGAGAGTCTGTTTAAAAAAAAAAAAAAAGTATCTCCTCGTTTTTGGTTTTTGTTTCTTTTTTGAGACAGAGTCTCAAGCTGTTACCCTGGGTAGAATGCAATGACATCATAGCTCACAGCAACCTCCAACTTGGGCTCAAACAATCCTCTTGCCTCAGTTTTTCTATTTTTTAGTAAAGATGGGGTCTTGCTTTTGCTTAGGTTGGTCTCCAACTCATGAGCTCAAAGAATCCACCCACCTCAGCCTCCCAGAGTGCTAAGATTACAGGCATGAGCCACCATACCCGACTGTATCTCATGGTTTGATGTGAGTTTCTCTGATGGCTAATATTAATCTTTTTATGTGCTAATGTTGTAGAAAGACGAGGCCCAATGGAGAGAAAGAGTGAGATGGGTGCCAGCAGCCTCAACACCCCCATAAGATGGATGCCGGCAGCCTCACAATAGTCTCACACCACCTTCCTGGTAGGAGGAAGAGGAAAAAGAGATAATTGAAATGATGACAAGTACCATTACTCTTAAATTAGTCCGGATCAGGCCGAAACAGGACAAGATAAGAACGGATAGGCCAAGAACTGTTATCATGAGAGTTAATGAGCTAAGTGCTGTGACAAATTATTTTACTTATCCATTAGTTGCTAGATCTGCATATGTTACCTTATTATTATCTAATTGCCCTTTATGTTACCTATTGGCTAATCTGCTAAACTGCCAGTTCACATCTGTAAAAGGGGGTCATCATGACCCCATGCTTGCTTTCTGCTTCTTTCACCAATTTTCTTTTTTCTTCTAATTGCTAACTTTCAGACCACCTGTTTGGCTCGTTGCCAAAATTTTAGACTAGAAAAACCCCAACTTCAGACCCCTCGATGCCCTCTCAGTCTGCTTTAGACTTTGCTGAGACAGCCCTATAGTCAATAAAAGACTCCTTCTGAAATTCTAGTGTGAGTTGGTGGTCCTTATCACGCCCCATAACATTCTTGGAGGCCCCCGTGAGATTCCTGGGTTTTAACCCAGGCTATGGCCACTGGTTATGGCTAGGGCATAAGAGCCAGTTTTCACCTAGGGGATGGCCGCTGAGAATTTCTCAGCCCCTGGTGAAAAACCAACTCTGTCCCCCTGCCTCAACCTGCCAAATTGATTGACTAAATTTGGCTAGTAACAGAGTCATCTGGTCTGGAATTCTTACCAGTAAGTCTGTTTTGGGACCCCCGGAGGCTGGATGCAGCCGTAGATTGGGGTCATCTGTCTGTCTGTCTGTAGTGCTGTTCTGTTCTGGGACCCTTGGAGGCTGGACGCAGCCATAGATTGGGGTCATCTGATTAGGCTGTTCTGTTCTGGGACACCGAGAGGCTGGATGCAGCTGTAGATTGGGTTGTCTACAGCCCTTTATTGGGTTGTTCTGGTTTTGCAGTCGACTGTTCTGGTTTGTGTGTCTTTTGTGTATTTTGTGGTTTTGTATGTTCTGTTTTTTGTATGAGTGAGAGTGAAAGAGTTTGGATGTGTTTCCACAGCTCTGAGGCTACGAAGTCCGAGTGGGCTTCCACCCGCGGTTCCACGACTTTATCATACAGCTTAGTGGCAGGCCCCTTGGGGTGACCTGGAACTTTTTTTGGGGGGGGGGGCAGTTTTTGGCAGGGACTGGGTTTGAACCCACCACCTCCGGTATATGGGGCCAGTGCCCTACTCCTTTGAGTCACAGGCGCAAACCCCCCTGGAATGGGGTTTATACATCTCCGCCTATGCCAAGATAGAGTTTTCATCCCTTCAGGGATGTGGCTGGGAAGGCATCTGAGTGGGAGTCAGACGTGGCTCCGTGCCTGACTGATTTTCTGTCCATCTGTCCCCTTTGTTCGCCATGTCAGACATACGTCTCTTCTGCAGGTTTAGATATCAGGAAACTCTCTAGGAATTTCATCCTGTGGAAACTAGCCTTTTTACCTTCTTTCTCTTATATCTCCTATGTCTCCCACTGCCTTCAGCATCACTTTCTAGGTGGGAGTTGGACTTTACTGTAACAGTGTTGCTCTGGAATCTTGGTCTGTTTGGCAGTGTGCTGTGCTGACTGACTTCTATCTTTCTTACATGGCCCTTTTGTACTTCCTCATTTTTATTTTAACACTGTAGTGTAAATATCCCACCTACATTTGGGACCGTCTCTTTCCAACAATTAAAGAGTTAATACAAAGTTTGTTAAAACTGTTCCTCTTTTTGGCTGCTAAAAACTGTGGTTGCTATGTTACAAATAGCCTTGAGATAAGGTGCCTGCACTTAGCAGAAGACCCAAGGTCAATTACTCATTTAGAACTAAAAAAAAAAAAAAGTCCTCTTTACTTTACCATTATCCTGACTACACGCACAGCAACAAAGATGGAAAAAATACTCACCTGAAGTCATCACAGCTGGCTAAATAGAGCTTCACTGTCCCTTAGAAGGTAAAAGTAACTTTTTTTTTCTTGAATGGTGACTATGTACATTAATGCAATTCTGGGGTACAGTGTGGTGTTTTCACATACAATTTGAACCATTTCCAACAAACTGGTTAACATAGCCTTCATGTCATTTTCTTAGTTATTGTGTTAAAACATTCATATTCTACTCTTAGAAAGATTCACTTGTACCCTT